TGGTTTTCTTTTTCTGCAAGATAATGATAACATCAATGTAATTGGGTTGTTGAGAGAATTAAATGAGATAAGTCATTTAAAATGCTTAGTAAAGGACCCAGCATATTGAGAGCATTCAGTAAATGATTGCTCTCATCATGTTCATTATTATTGTTATTATTAACACTCATTAAATACTCATACAGAGATCCGTTGGGATGTATATTTATTACTATGCATGCACTGTAGAAGGGGAAATTGTAGGATTAAGTGATATGTTAAATATATATAGTGGTCCCTTGTGATCGGACCCAGATCTGCATATTAACTCCACAGCTGTAACACTATTAATTAAATCCTGCCCTTCAACATATAAATAGCCTTTTTGAAATATGTCTGCAGCCAGATTCTCCTGGCCTCCCTGCTGTTCCTCCTAGGAGTACTGTAGGCATTTTTGAAAGTCTCTAAGGCTATTTTTTTATGCTACACTTTAAGATCAACACGGGCACAATTAAGTTATTGCTGCTTCTTTGGAAACTTCATGACTTCGGAGTAATACATGCAGCATGCTAATATGAATGCTTGTTTTATTTGGTGCATGTAAGATACCAAGAAATACACTGAAAATCAAACGGTAGTTTTATTTTCCAAAGGAGTTAACCTGATGTTACAGTGACATCGTTGTGATGACTAAAATTATAAGCACCGTGAACTAATTTTCCTTATTAGTTTTTTTCTTGAGAGATGTGTGGAAGTTTTACCTTAGTAATCCTAGAGAGTTTTCAATTACCAGATTTTCAAAGTATTCAGAATATGCATAATTATACATGAATACATTTAGACATACAAATAGGATGCATTACTGTAAAGACATTCTGGAAAGATGTATCTTAGATTAATTACGAGTTTGATCACAGGTGTTCTAAAAGCAAAGATGGGAAAGATGATGAACATTTATTGATTGCCTACTACAATACCAATTATTTTATATTTCTATTTTTGGTTTTATTCTTACAGCAGCCCTTTGAGGTCAATGTTAGTTTCCTTTTTTTATGAAGAACCTCAGCTCAAAGAGTGAAAGTAACTTGCCAAGAAGACACGTGCTGTAAACGGGTAAGGTGGGCTTTATCCCCAGGCCTTGATGAAAAAGCCTGACACACCACACTACCTTCCACAGAGATTCATTCCACAAATTATACATTCTAAGTAAGTTTTTAAGTATTTCCCTTTGTTATGCTTTTGAATTTTTTCTATAGTGGCCCTGATTTGCTAGAAACTTAATATTTCAAAATGGCAGCAACAGAACTCTATTTTCCTATTTTTATTGAATTTGACACCATTGTCCGTGAGAGTTCTCTCTTCCCAGAAATACTCCAGCTGTCTATTTCACTTGAGAAACTGGGCAGGGCCAATGAAATAATTCTTCTTTTTCAAAGCCATTCTTAACGTCTAGTTTAAGTTCTTCCTCTGGACATTGCTAGAGAAACATTTTGTCTTGCTCAAGATTCAATTTTTCTTTTTTCCTGACTTTCAAGCTTTGATTAAGTTTTCTGTTCAGCATGGTATTTTGAAGTGGAAATTTTTTAGAGAGTCAAATAAGGATTCCAAATATAGGAAACCAAAATTCCAGTTTCCTCAAAACGGCTACAATCTATTATATTTCATAAGCTTTTTAAATAGCTTTATGCCACATAAGTTTCTTCCATTTTCGGAAGACCAAATTTAAGCAGCTCTACTGTGTATATTTTGTTTTTATTTAAACAGATATAATTTAATTTGTTAAATGACTGTTAAACTTACTTTTATCTTTTCCTGTGGATGATTTTTTTCTACTTGGGTAACTATTAAAAGAAATCTTTAAATATGATATTTATGAAGGGCTGGAGGCTGCTAATACCTATATTCAACAATGATGTGTCAAGGAAATAATCTAAAAGCTTTTGTAGAAATAGCATTCTAGAAACCCAGCAAAGACTATGACTTTTTTTAAGGAGCTCCAAGAATGATTTCCTCTTTAATATTATAATGGTATTAATTAGGAAATTTTAAAAATGTATAAACACTTTTAGGTCACCAATTTTTTTTTTTTTAAATGAAGCTCTGATACATTCCATTGTGTCTATTGCTCTTCTGTTTTTATTTTCACACATTGATTGAGGGAGGGAGTAAAATAAAGGAGGTGATGCAGGTAATTATCTATCCAGGTTTGAAGATCTTTATTGTTAAACTTGCCTCTGAGCCTTAATTCTAAAGAAACCTAAAGGTCTATAGATGCTTGATTTTATGTATATTGCTTCACAGTGGAGCCCTGGTGGTGCAGTGGTTAAGAGCTCAACTGCTAACCAAAAGGTCAGCAGTTCAAATCCACCAGCCTCTCCTTGGAAACCCTATGGGACAGTTCTACTCTGTCCTATAGCTGGACTCAACTCAATGGCAACGGGGTTGATTATTTTGGTTTTGCTTCACAATACGTTCCCAAGGGATACAATTATATTTAAGAAAATGAGACCAGTCAGTTTATATATAGTTATCTGTTTCTTATTCCAAAGACTTTAAAATGCTAAGTGAATATAATTCCTGAAACATAAAATTCTAATATTCTTTTATTTAAATTTTGAGCAAGTTATTCCCTCTGTAGCTTTCCTACAATAAAGAAAAATTCTATGCAATTTGAAATATGTATTGTGTTTTATCATGATGTTTAAGGCAAATACAAACATTTAGAAATCTTTACTTAGAAAACAACTGGGAAATTTAATTTCCTGCAAGGTTACACAGTCTAATGACAAACAGATTTAAGCAATCACTGTGACCTGTGTTGTATTAGTAGCTGTTAATCAGAAATTTATGTAACAATTGTATGCGCCTCTTTGGTGGTTACAAATAGGTTTTATTTTATTTTTGGGATAATTTTCTATCAACAGTAGATGCATTTATTGTTCTACGTTTACAGTCACTGTATTAAGGCCTGTGCAAATATAATCAAAGAACTACATAGAAATATGTTCTCTCTGCCATTTTTTTATATACATTCTCCTAATGAAATGATGACTATAACAACTTTCTTAAAGAAAACTAAATGTTTTACCTGTGTAATAAGTTTATTTTGTGTCTCGATTCAGGAATGTAAACATGAAATGATTTAATTCTCCCCTGTCTCTTCTGTGTCAAATCCCCTTTCCAACTCCTTAATACATCATGCACAGATTCTGTATCAACTTTAGCTGTCAGAACTTAGTCTCGTGTCTCCGTCCCTCCTACAAAGTGAATTATACTTGTGGTTTGTGTCTTGAAGGTTTCTCCCCGCCTCCCCGCTAATACTCCCTGTCAGCCAGGGAGACAGTGAAGGGGAGTTGTGATCATCTTACTCAGCCAGCTTGAAGCTGGGGGAGTTAGAGGTTGAGAGGAGAGCTTGACCTCACTTGGCTTCTCTGGAAGCCCTGAGGTCTCGGCTGATGTGATGGTCTCCAAATTTGTCCAGTTCTCTTAGAGGCTTCTACAGAAACAACATTTCTTTCTTAATAAATCTATACTTATTTCAATAAGTGAAATTTAGTCAGAGCAAAACTTAACCCACAATGAGTAGACTATGGCTGCTAAATTTCAGTGAAGGCAGTACTTTACTCCAGAAAAAAAACAACTTTAATAACTTCTAGTGAAATTGTTTCAGTGTTTCTTTAAAGGAAATTCAAACATGCTGTGGGCAGAACCCTTGGCGGAGAAAATGGAACATGAGGTCGTTCTAGAACAACAATGTGTACAACAAATGGAACACCAAGCAGATGCCGTTAAGAATTTGCATTCTCTTGCTATGATCATCATTAGTGTATTTAACGGATACCATCTCACTGTTGAGAAACTTCAGTTAAGAGTAAAATCTAGATGAAGACTTTCAGGTGATATTTTCAATGGTTCATAAGATTATAAAAGAGAGCTTGGTAAACATGTTTTTCTGCATGTCCCTTCTAAACATACTCTTAACAAAATAACAACTTATGCCTCCAGGTAGTTTTCTACAGTAAAACAGAATAGTAACAACATAATTAAGTGATAACTAATGAAGGTTTAGCTGAAGAGCCTTGAAGAACAGAGACGCTTACCTACAAACGTGCAACACTACCTCCTGATATAGAAGCAAACAAACGAACGTTGAATTGCTTCACAAATTTGCCTGTGTAATTTGTTTGACAAAAATGACATATATTTTATAAGCGTATCTCATTATTTTCTCTTTGCACAGAGACAGTTTATTGTTGATGCCATGAGCAATTATAAGTTAGAGGTTTCTCCACTGGACTTGGATATGATCTTGGACATAAGTGTCATAAGTGCACACAGTAGTTGTGCATTCATTTGTGATTTGACCGGTCCAGCAGTCACAGAATGGCCACAAGGCTACCTTAAACTTAGCACACAAGTTCTAGATTTTTGACTTAAAAAGGGTAAGCCTGAGAATGCAGGTCAGGCAGAATGATGAGCAAATAAAACCAATTATATAGGGAGAGATGAGAAAAATGATTGGCTGGAGCCTGGACTGACATCTTGGGCCATGAGATAACCTTCAGCATATCAAGTCATTGACCAGGATAATAGAGTCGAAGAATAGGAGAGTCTGGTACCATATGCCCTTTGGGGGTGTTATACCAGTCTTGGACTGCCTAAGATTGGATTTCTTTTATATGAATGTATCTTTTAAGCCATTGTTTTGAAGTTTTTCTGCAGGATACAACCCAACCTAATCCAAACTGATGCACAAACTTTAATTTATAGCTATGTGCTTAAACTTTAGAACATAAGAATATACCAGATGGTCAACTTCTGTTCTCATGAAGCTTTCTGTGTAATGGGAAAGGCAGACAATTTAACAAATAATCACAATAGAATGTGAAAGTGTCAATGAAAAGGACTTTCCTTAGAATTCTGAGTCCATAAAGCAGGAATGTTAAACACAAGCAGGATGAACGAAGGCTTCCCTGAGGAAAATGTATTAGCTTACACATTAATATGTGTAAAAACTGAGGGCATTGGTGGTTCAGTGCTAGAATTCTTGCCTTCGATGCAGGAGACTCGGGTTCAATTCCTGACCAGTGCACCTCAGCACATCCACCACTCGTCTGTCAGTGGAGGCTTGTGTGTTACTACGATGCCGAACAAGTTTCAGCAGAGCTTCCACCCTAAGACGAACTAGGAAGAAAAGACTGACAATCTACTTCTGAAATTCAGCCAGTGAAAACACCCTATGGATTACAATGGTCAGATTTTGCCATTTTGTTCCATTGTGCATTGCGTCTCCATAATCTGGGGGCCAACTCAGCAGCAGCTAACAACAACAGCATGTGTAAGAATAAGGAGACGACAGTCTTAATACTAAATACCTACTACTGATCTCCATTTAGGAGGATAATATTCCTGATCTACCAAACCTGAGAAAAGCAGTTTTGTTTTTCTATTCCCTGTGATATATTTAGCTCAGGCTGCTAACCAAAAGGTTGGCAGTTCGAATCCACCAGCCACTCCTTGGAAACCCTACAGGGCAGTTCTACTCTGTCTTATAGGGTCGCTATGAGTCAGAATTGACTCGACGGTAATGAGTTTTGGGTTTGTGATGTTGTCTTAGTCATCTAGTGCTGCTTTAACAGAAATACCACAAGTGGATGGCTTTAACAAAGAGTAGTTTATTCTCTCACAGTCCAGTAGGCTACAAGTCCAAATTCAGGGCATTAGCTCCAGAGGAAGGCCTTCTCCGTCAGCTCCGGAGGAAGGTTTGTGTCATCAATCTTCCCTTGGTCTGGGAGCTTCTCTGTGCAGGAATCTCAGGTACAAAGGACGCGCTCTGCTCCCCGACTGCATTCTTGGTGGTATAAGGTTCCCATGTGTCTCTGCTCGCGTCTCTCTTTTGTATCTCAAAAGAAATTGGCTTAAGGCACTATCTAATCTTGTAGACCTCATCGCTATAACTGCTGCTAATCCATCTTATTATTACATCATAGTGATAGAGTTTACAACACATAAGGAAATCACATCAGGTTACAAAATGGTACACAATCATACAGTACTGGGAATCATGACCCAGACAAGTTGACAGATATTTTGGGGGAACACAATTCAGTCCATGACAGATGTATTTACATTAATCCATCCACCTCCATACACACACTTTTCCCTGGATTCTTTTTTGCCTGTAGCTTATATTTGAGATTACACACCATCATGGATCAAAGCATGGGTCACTGCTTTCGGAAGGTGGTCTTGTAGAGACATTCAGTAAACAAAATCACTGAGCTATAAAGTTACAGACCAGAGCACATGTGACGTGCCCCCTTACTGGGGTTCCTTCTAAGGTGGCCTGAATGTAGCTTTCCTGAGCAAACATAAACAAATGTGCTCCTCAAATATGAGACGTGATCATAGCACAACTGTATTATTCAGCTTAGAGCCACTGCTGATTCAAAAATCATTTCAGTGATGGTAAATATACTACTCCCTGTGAAATCCCCTAAAGAAAGGAATGCTGAAAAAAAAAAAAAAAAAAAAGATGATGAGCTCAACTCTTTCCAAACAGGTACTATATCCCCACACTTATTTTAGAAACAGAAACTCTATGTGGATATTTGGATGAACTGTCTGGGGAGTTGATTTGACCCTGTTTTTAGAACAATGTGCAATAGTTTGATGGTGCTATTTCTTAATGGCCATCTGATGGTTTAGTTTGTACATGTAACTAATCATTTTATTCTTGTCCTGTAATTGTAGAATTAATAGAGAAAACACATCCTCTGGGTATTTGAAATATTAGGGGACATCAAGGCTATTTTAAGTATTATTGTTGTGATGGTGGTGGTTAGCTGTCATCGAGTCAGCCCCCAATTCATGGTGAACATATTTATAATGGAACAACATTGGCCAGTCAGTCCTGTGCCATCCCCATAATTGATTGCACGTGAGACAATGTTCCTTTGGGAACCATAAGGTTTTCATTGGCTGATTTTCAGAAATAGATTGCCACGTCTTTCTTTCTAGTCCATCTTAGTCTGGACACCCACTGAAACCTGTTCAGCATCATTGCAACATACAATCCACCACCAACAGGTGGGTAGTGGCTGTGCATGAGGTGCACTGACTAGGAATTAAACCCTGGTATCCCACATGGAAGGAGAAAATTCTACCACTAAACCACTATGTCAGAAAACACCTCATCCTGGTTCAGGGCAGCATAGCCCAGAAGATGTCCTGATTGTGTAAAGAGTTGTGCTCACCGTTACCTAAGAGACTGAGACAGAGGGAGGGTGGAGTTATGATTTCCTGCTTACAGTTTTAATTTTACATTTGAAGAGAATGGAAACAATCAGGTGACAAATTTTGGTTCCATTTAAAAGATAGAATTACTGGCCCCTGAAATCAATGGCTGTCAATCAAAGCCTACACATTGGGTGATCTGCATGAATAATCTAAGACTAACTTGTTAACTGTGCGGAAGTGAACTTAGCCATGCAGGAAGACAGCTTGTCAGCTGCCAGCAATTTACTGTGTTTTTGAGAACCATGGACAGCAATTTACAGAGACGATCAGGCCAATTTTTGTACATGTGTGACATTTGCTTGATTTCAGATGTCATCCTGGAAAGCTGTTAACAGACAACTGGAGTTTGGAATGAGTTTATTCAGTTTAGTGCTTTTACCAAGAAGGTCTCTGTTTCTGAATGCACACCTCCTGCTGGGACGCCGCTGCCCATATGCAAATGAACATCTCCTCTCAACCATTAGGCACCTTTGCATTTCTTGGTGCTCTAATATACTTGGCTTCCATGAGAAAGCATGTATTTGTGCTTTTATTTCTTACAGCTGATGCTATTAAAAAAGAAAACGCCATGAGTACATTTTTAGTCCTAAACTGTCCTGTGGCTATAGTCACTTTAATCCTGCACCAGAATGATTATTTTTGAGAAGCTTTTTAAAATAAAATGATATTAGCAAAATACAAAATCATCAGTAGACACCACAGTAGTAACTGCTGCAGGTAAAAGCCACGGATGATTGTTAAGCTAACTGGCAAAGCTGTATAGAGAAGTAGGTTATCTGCATAGCCTCAAAGTCTTTCTCCCAAAATATTTAACAATGATGGTGTTGGTTTTAACATATGTCGGCACGTTCTTTGGTATTTCCCCCTTCAGGAGACGAGACTTAATTCTCTTTCCTTTGAGTGTGGGCTGGACTTAGTGACTCACTTTCAAAGAACAGAGCATGGAAAGGGAAAAATAGCAACTTTACAGGAGAGAAACCTGGCAGACACCACCTTAACCAAGCAATCAAGGTTAGCGTCGCCAATAATAAACTGTGTTGATATTAGGTATCCTTGATATGATACAATAATAAGGGCAATTCACCTCTGTGATAATCCTTCCCAAAAATGTTTAATCCCAACCATGAGGAAACATCAGAAAAAACAAATGAGGGGCATTTTGCAAAATACTTGTCAGGTATTTTTCTGAAGTCTCTTTGTTAAGTTCACAAAAACGAAGAAAAGACTGAGAAATTTTCACAGATTGGAGAGCTGATGACTAAAGGCAACTTAGCATCTTGGGTTAGATCCTGGTGTAAAAAAGGGACATGAGTGGAAAAACTGGTGAAATACAAGTCAAGTCTCTAGTTAATAAGATTTTACCAATGTCAAGTTTTTAGTTTTGTTAAATGTACCACGGTTATGAACGCTGTGAACATTAGGAGAAGCTGGGTGAAGAATATATGGGGATCCTCTCCATTAATCTTTGCAACTTTTTCCGTACATCTTAAGTTATTTCAACATAAAAAGTAAAAAAAAATAGAAAATAAAATGGTTAATGGAGAACTACTGTAAATTTCTATCCGCTTTTTTTTATTAGTATAGTTATTTCAATCTTTTATGGGCATTAAAGTTAGAAACAAAAATAATTTTTCCTTGAATTTTAAAAAAGCTCAATAAAGCTAATTTTCCAGTAAAAATTGTAAACTCCAAGATGCCTCGAAGTATAGTGATTGTTTGAAGAGCATTTATGGGATAAAGATTCCATAAGTTAACTGCAGTGAGTACAGTCTGTGGTTGATTGTTTCTCTGTGCTTTAGAAAAAGACAAAAAAAAACTTAGCATGTATTTTAAAATTGATTCTCAATGCTTACATTAATTTATTACACTATTCAATGTTTCCTAGGAAGTTTAAATCTTTTAAACCAGAATCTTTATTGTAACTGCTACTCTGAAATTGCATAAGCCAATAGCCATCATTTAAAATGTAAGTTGAAGTTCAGTTTTCCATAAGAGAAACTAGGCAAATGTCTTTTGTGTTTAGCAATAAAATAAATCTGAAGAGTAATGCTTATAGCTTCTTCTTTCTTGTACAGTTTAATGTCAACCCTGATGATTTGTTTTAATCATTCTTTCCCTTTAGTTTTTCTCAAAAGGGAAATGAATGCAGACTGTTTACTGAATTACTTTTTTTTTTATCTTTGATCTCAATTTTCAAGGATGAAATGTAAAATAGTAGAATTGAATTGGAGAAATCAAACCCCGAAGTTGTTTGCGAATAGAAATTATTATTAAATCATTACCCTGGCTCTATCTAGGATTTTTTTCTTTCTTTTTGTTTGTTTTTGCTTGCTTTTCCAGGAAGGTGCAGTTGTTTGTTGAGGACAAATTATCAGAGCTGACATCATCCTATGCAAGATGGATTATACAACCAGATAGGTGGAGAGATAGAACAAAAATACAAGATGCATATGTATCAGCTGAGATTTGTTGTCTACTTTTAACACATTATTTTGAAAACTGACAAACTCAGCTCTAAATTGTCTCAGCAATTGCTTTTATTTTGCCATATAGGGCTGTATCCTGACAGATTTCAGGTGATACGTTACTGGCATACTCATCTTACATTAGGTAAAAACTCAAGCATGGTTTTGGGATGGCTATAGGCAATGTCATTCGGTTTTTCCAAATAAACTCAATTATAAAGTACGAAGCATCTACAATGATAGCTAACTAAGCTTAAATTTCCATTCCATTAAACCTACTTATTCTCCTTAAAATAATGAATATATTCAAAATTATAAAAAAAAGAAG